TCATAATGCAACATCAGTATATGCCCACACAAACATCAGAGACACAAGGAGTATAAATACGCAGTTCAACACACCCTAGAACAGTATAACAACACGGCGCACCACGAACACCTACAGGATGATGTTAAAGGTTGGAGGAAATAACAAAAGCTCTCAAAAAACAAAATAGGGTTGGCTGAAATATTACAATATACCCATAACATATTTGCAGAATCCTCTTCTCAAGAACTACAAGGCGGTACACGTTTGGCCCCCTTCAAAAGAAGAAATAATAAAAAGGACACAAAACAACTTGGTTTACAATTTCCAACAAAAATCTTAGCAAACTGATTGTAAATATTTTAACATATTGTCACGTGTTGGGTGTATACGCGACAAATAACTTCACGCCTTATTGGATATAGCGAATTTGATTCCACATTCGCTCTTACAATCACACAATTTACAAGCTGACTTTACTGCCATCGGCAGTATCACAAATACTACACTGCAAATGCTAGACTACCACTGAAAGGTCGACTGCCTGGCTAACTCGTAGATAACTCGCAACTTGAGAACTGCTGCCTTAAGAACTTGAGAACTAACTCGTGAACTAGTAACTCGAGAACTTGAGAACTAACTGTGAATAGTCTTCGCTGCTCCTTATTTAGCCACGTTCCGGACAACACAGAAAACAGCCACGTAATAGGCACCACTGTTGTCTGATGCCATGTTGCTAGCAATGCTGTCGGGAGTTGTTTACTGCTGCCTAGCAACCGTGGCATCCCTTGGCCACATCACCGCTGGCGGGGTAGGCGGAGGAGTGTTGACTTGCCTGTTACCTTAGTAATGACAGCGATCCGATGGCGTTACATCACCGCTGGCGGGGGGAAGGGTGTCCTGCATAGCGCAACACGTCACAATATTAAGACAGCCGCTGTAGTTGTTGAAATACTAGATTTTATATCCATTGTATTTTGTCAACTTTATATGTATATATTCTAGCATTCAAAAACATATTGTAATAGTGGCTTCCGATTGTATTGATGTCCCTCTGAAGATGGTCTGTAAAGGCCGGAACGTGTGAGGGATGAAGGACTGAAATAAGAAAAATCTTTAGTAGTCACACTGGACGGAACTGTTTAACCTCTTATGATATTGTTAGTGTGACTGACCAGAATGAAACAAATCGAAGTTAGTGACAAAGTTAAAATTTTTGGCTTGTGTATTTGCCACTCTCTGTCCAGTCACTTAATTTTCCTGAGAAGAAAGGACAAAATGTTTGTATTTGGAATCTGAATTTTGTATGAAACCTTTGCACGACTAAACGCTCTTGTGTTTGTGAATAATCTGAAGATTTCAACAAGAGGTTCTGAGGAGAAGTTATAACACCATCTTCCCTTCAAATAGTTTGCTTAATATGCTGAGGATAGCAATTATAATTAATTAATAATTATCCAAATCCTTGATCAGTTTCTATGCACAACTTCTACTGTTTCAGATTTGGACAAAATTAAATTTGTCAGATAAACTTCAAAAGGTTTGCACTCTCACTGTGTTATCTTATTACCATTATCTCACACAGAATTTGTTTCTGTGTTTATTATCTTTCCATACAAAATTCCTAGTTCCAGTGGTTTGTTAGTGTCACCATCAATCCAAAAATCAACCAAATGTGGCTGCCATGTCTTTATTTTACTTGGCCAAAAGGTGCATACTTTCAAATATGTATTACATAATTTCAGAAACCTACATTAGATGGTGCTAGTGTCACTCTGATATCACTAATCACTGTCACCGTGTAGGTATTACTGATATAAGAATAAAAAGTACAGAGGTGAGGTTTTTTCTAATGGCATGGTGTTTATACCCAATTCATGTAAGTGAGTCAGAAGTTATTAGAGATGAACAGGCATATGGACACCTGGATAATTCCATAGATAGGTAGTTTATCTTTTATTATTAAATGAGATAATTAGGCTAAAATGACTTATCAGAATACAAGTAGGCAGTAACAGTTACTACTTGTTAAAATTTCAGTTTTCCGAAAGAATGCTTTCTGTAGGAGTATGTGGACTGGATTCATCTGGTTCAGAATAGGGACTGAAGGTGGGCTCTTGTGAATACAGTAATGGTCCTTCAGGTTTCATAAAATTGTAGGAGTTTCTTGACTAGCTGAGAAAGTACTGCCTTCAAAACATGCTCTAGCCATGAAGTCAGATACTTAGTAATTCTTTCTTCTTCAGAGATGTAATATTTGGCCGTCTGAATTTTTGTGGACAATTTTAAAATGAAAAAGAAGCACAGTCCTTAGAAAAAAGAAAAAAAGCACATATTAAAGGGGTGGAAAGCATCAAATCTTGCAGATCATCCTAGATGGGACTATGAAGACCATAGGCCTGTTGAAGCCAGTTTTCATCATGGAATGAGTGCTGTCATGACTGTACTAGCTGAAATCATCATTTCACATACTCTAATCACTGAAACAGCAGAAATTCTAAGAGGAAACTTACATCTCATAAGGAAATAATTATGTTATATTTCAATAATCCGTCTTGTTCTGTAAATACATAGTTTGTTTAATGTAATAATTACAGGTTTTTGATTAGTATTGCAGTATTTTTAATTAGGATACAGTTTTGTCCTACAAGAATGACTTTATAATGTTTGTTGTAGACTGCAACACCATGAAAACATTTTTTGTACACAAATTTTATTTGTCATAAGCACAAAATTTAGATCTGAACATGAGATTGGAATCCAATATTTCCATTATGTTAGCCAAAATTATCATTACAACATTTGATTATAATGATACCTCAATTTATCTGCATTGAACTATATATAGAATCCTTCTGCTAGTAATTGGAGATAAAGGTACCCAAAAGCTCTGCCTCTGGAAACTACTTAATCATGCCAATCGTACTGTATGCTGAGAAAGATTATGATTATTGATATAAAAGAAAGCCAGTATGCTGTTTGATGAACACATGAAAAATTATTTTCTATGAATTGTGATGTTTTTTACTGTCATCTTGGCAACTTGAGAGTACTGGGAAGGGTCCTGATGGTTTGGATACTGTAAATGGAAAATATTTACCAGGTGTTCAAAATGAACACAGACAATAAAGAAACTAAATAACTTCCCTCTCGGTGAAGGTACAGGCAAACCATTTGTGGTGCAATTGTAAAATCTCACCAATGTTTTGTGTGTTAATAGATATTGGAATATGCCCCCTTGCAATGCAGACATACAGCAAATATTTTATTTCCATTCAGGTTTTCTTAGCATTTCTGGAGTTACAGTTGGTATTGGTAATAAAGGAAATGAAGAATTTCACTCTCAGTGAAGATACATGCAAGCAGTTTGCAGTGAAATGTGTAAAAACTCACCAAATGCTGTGCTTGTGACAGATGGTAACACTGCTGCTCATTCGCAATAGCCATCAGTTGGTTTATGTGAAATGGCATCATTCACACACCAAGGGAAAGTTCAATGCTGTTACTGGCTGACAGAATTTAAGTTTCTCATGACTGTTCAGCACATGTTTTATCATACATGTAGCCACCAAACAGACACACAACTAGCACCAGCATCTGCCACAACGTGAAAGTTCCAAGTGATGTTGTAAAGGCGGTAGACTGCAAATGGCACCAGCAAGTTGAAGCTGTTCAGGAAGCTTTCCAATAAAGTCTGCAGGAATCCAATTGGTGAGTGAGCCATGAATTGCCAATTCATCAGCCAGCAGTCCACAACTCAGTGTGTAAGCAGCTAAAATTTGAAGTATAAAAATTGCAATTGCTTCAGAAAGTGCAGGGAAGTGATTTACCACAGTGCCATGACTTTGTTACCCACATTCTGTCTTGGATCACCCATGACAGTAACTACCTCAGCAAGGTGTGCTTCATTGACAAGGCTACTTTTCACATCTTGGGTAAAGTTGTTGTCACATATGGGGATCTCACAATCCTCGTGGTGTGAGGAAGCATGAACGAGATAGCATGAAATGGAACATGTGGTGTTGATTGACCATTGCAGGAGTGATCAGATCAGTCTTCTTCCATGAGAAAACAGCGACAGGAGCTGTGTACCTTAACATGCTAGAGAATTATACTGTTTCACATGTACCTCATTGATACATCTTCCTGCAAAATGGGGCACCACAATGGACACTGGTTATTGAATTCCTCAGTGAGCAGTTCAAAGGAATATGGATCAGCCTATGTGACCCCATTCCATGGCCCCCTCAACTGCTTATTTTGTTCCCCCATGAATTCCATCAATGGGCATACCTCAAAGACATCATTTATTGGACCAAAGACCTGCCTCATCTGCAGCATAGAATTGTTGATGTCATAGCGTCTATACTTCCGGAGATGTTAATAAACACCTGGGCAGAGAGAATATTGGTTGAATGCCTGCCACATTGCAAGGTGGCACATGTCAAGATCTACTGACACAAAAAAGCATTTGCTGAGTTTTTACCCTTTTCACTTCAAACAGCTTGCATGTATCTTCACTGGCTTTGAAGATACTCACTTTCTTCCCCTGCTATGTTAATTTCAAGCACGATGTATGTTGTTTGTGTGGTATTTTGGTCAGGACCTTGGCAAATAGAAATCTGAAACAAGAAAGCCATGTATACAGAAATACTACAAAGAGAGTGTCACTGTAACCTACTGTCATAGGGTGCCATAGCAAGACTTAAATCTCCTTTATATGAGACAATGCTGTGCTAGAGTTGTAGTTAAAATTGTTAAAATTAGGATCATAACACTAGCATGAATAGATTATGATACAGCAAAAGCATGAGTTTAAAAATGATTTTTACTCGTAGAGTGTCCATTTTTTATATTGTTCCTGCAGCCTCTCCCCTTTAACCAAGATACACTATATTTTGAAGATGATAATCATGACCAGTGTTGCTGGTTGAGGAGTGTGTATTGCTTACTTGACTCGTATTATGTGTTATGTGTAGATACACAGATGTATTGCAAATGCTGGTCTGCATGTATTTCAGCGAGTAGTGCAAGCGATCTGTCTGCTCCTGCAACTCCAAACATAAACAGAGCCCGAGTAAATGAAAGTCCCATTGTGGATGTTGGTTCTACATCCATAACAATTGCTGATTCTGATCACCAAGAAAATAAGAGTAATGCTACCAGTGGTATAAACAGTCGGAAGGAAAAGAGGAAACGAGAATCTAAAGCGGACCTCTACCGGTAAGCTCTAAAATGAGGTTGATGTGTGCTGTGCTCTAGAGCCCAGCATCGTGGTACTTGTTACTGGAAGTAACAAAGCCCTCCGGAAGTAGGGCTTGACATATGAGGAGTTTTTTCTGATGTCATTGTTTGTACAGAATGTACCTCCAGACATGAACATCCTCCAGTTCTGTGTAAGTGTTCAACTGACATTAATATCCTGTGGTAAGTCTAAAATGGAATTTCTCAATCAAGTTTTTGCTTTGGTTACGTCCATGAATGAAATTTTGCCAGTTTAATTTCTAATTGATAATTTGATGGGGGTTTTCAAAAGTATGTAGTAGCCTTGAGTCATGGGATGTATAAAAGCAGTTCAGGTACTGGTGACTTAGGGGGCATATCTTATTTGTGTAAACTAATAATGCATAACTTGCAACCCATTGCTACTCTCTTATGGCTTCTTTAAAATCCCATTGTTATATTACACATATAAATACAGGATTCTTCTGTACTGAAGGAAGAATGTAATTTGGAAACATGTCTGTGTTTTGGAGTTCTGTAATATGAACCCAGGTTTTTCATTGACTTCCATGTTACATGCAGAAGAAATTGGAAAGAATATGCTGAAAGAAGAGCTCAGATAGGATTCCTCTCCCCACTACCCCCAAAATAATCCAAAATATGAACAAAAATAAAAAAGAAGAATCTGAAGGCCTCTGAATTGATAGAAGGTTTCTGCTTTTTGATGTCTGTAACAGGTATCATTATGCCGTTTCTGCTAGGGTCTGAAAGATGTTATCCAACAGTCCTGATGAAACACAATTCTGTTGACTCCAGCCTTCTTTTGTCCATATTTCTGAAATCTGAAGTGGCATTTTGATGAAAAGTGGTGAATTAATTTTCATATTGCATGAAAATGTGTACATCTGGATGCCTGAAGAATAATAATAAATGTTGACACAAAATTGGATTCATGAATCCTTATTCATGATTTACTATGATAAGATAATGTTGGTCTTATAAATTCATGCTCCTGTATGCCTATAAACTAATGATCGTTGGAAGACTTGACTTACAGTTTCTATTATTTTGACAGTGTTTGCAGTTTTTACGTTCAAATCCTTTTTTCCCTCATCAAATGCATTATGTCCCAAATAGTATAAAGTATTAATTTGTTACAGTGTCCTATCAGTTAAGCATGTCTTACTTTTAACTTGTCCCCCCCCCTTTCCAAATTTTTATCTTCACAGAAAATTCTGCAGCCATGTTATTCAAATTGTGTACTAAGTATTGTATGTTGTCTTGAGGTTTGTTGGGTTTGAAGTTCTTGCAGTGGCAACCATGAAGACAGTGGTCATCTGGTTAGTAAGATTGTGTAGTATGGAAAGAGCCTGATATTTGAGAGGAACATACCAACCACATCTTCAGGGTCAAAGAGTAAGCCAAACAAGAAACTAGCAGAGCTTACCACCAGCTTCTGGTGGTTTCTTGCGTGGCTTACTTCTTGAACCTGAAGATGGAAGCAATATATTTCTCCAAAATTTCAGAAATTTTGTTATGTTTTCATAATTGTACATTTACATTTTACCCATTTATATATTGGGTGATTGTTGCTCTATGAAAGGATTCTGTGGCAACTGAAATTTGAAATAAAATGAAATCATAACACTTACATTAGTCCACTTGACACAGAGTCTGTTATGTCAGAACCCATTTTCAAGGACTTTTATTAGTATCAAAATACTGTAATATCATGTAATGACATAAATTTATTATCAATGGCAGTTCCACTTTTGTTAATATTAGAATATAATAATTTCTTCTTCATTACTAAGGCATTGTACATGGCAGTAGACTCAGTTCTTGATGAAATAGCTCTGCTGAAATGGTTAGTCATGGGTGTGATGAAAGTGTTTCATAACTGTTGCCAACAACAGTTAGAATTTTCCTGGGTTATATATTGAATCTTCTACCTCCACAGGCCACACAATTAAGGCATTAATGGTCTTTGTAGTGTATACACTGGGATCATGTGTTCATAACCCTAGGACATTGATATTTGTATGTGTTTTTCATCATTACATTAATCTCTTCANCTCTTCTACAGGGGGCCAGGAGGAAGCACTCTTCCAAAAGATGTGCTGAATAACCTGACACAGTTTCAGAAGAAGCAAAAGAAAGGAACCATTGATGTCTGGTGGCTTTATGATGATGGAGGTAAGACCTATTTGAATAATAAACAGGTCCTTCTTATCATCTGACACATTGAGAATAATGCCGGTTTATTTATTTGTATAAAAACATGAAAGTATACAGCAAGAGTGGCAATAACAGAGAGTTGCCTGTTGCAATATCAGAGCACAGTTAAATGCATTCCATGAAGATTTATGGGCAGATGCAGACTGAGCTGTAAAACCCTATCATACTGCTTTTCAAGCTTTTGACCATAGAACATCCACAATGAAAATATTTTATTTACATTTGTACTCCAACTTACAAACTGCATCTTGAATTATGTCCATAATCTGAATCTGCAGAGTTGAGTGAATTTTCTCTGTAAGAAATAATATTAATTCATATATTCCTTAATCACTTAACAAAAAGTAACTTCTCATATAGAGTGGCCTCCGTAGTCTAGGGGTAACGTTCCCACCTCATGACTCAAGTTACGCGGGTTCAAACCCGGCGGAGGTCATGGAATTTTTAAGGGCAGAAAAATTCAGGGAACAAGTCCTCTGGGAGGGACTTTAAGCCGTGGGTCCCGTGTCGTAGATTTACGGCACGTAAAAGATCCTCATGTCTCTAGGAGACCTCTGAGCAAAATTAGGCAAAGAAGTTTCCCGCCCAAGTAGTTTCCAATGCCTCCGGTAGATGGGGAAGTTATCGGGCACCAATGCCAGTAGAGGGCCAACCTCGCTGGCAGAAAGGGGAAAGTAATGGGGTACCACTGCCAGTAGAGGGCCGACCTCGCTGGCAGAAAGGGGAGATAGTGGGCACCAGTATCAGTAGGGTATGGCGACAGTAGAAATTAAAGGGGGACGTACAATAGACTATTAGTCGCGGTGCATGGGGAAACCCACCCCTTCTATACTGAATAACTGAGCTTCTCATATAAGGGGACCAAAAAAAGGCTCGTATAGAATGTACATTAAATACATTTGCTGGTTTATGGGACAATTTTTGATGCAACTACTTTTGCATTACTCTTTTGGAAAATGGGTTAGGAATTCCTTAAATCTACAGAGCTCATAGACGACTTTTCAGAATATTTTGCTGATTTCTGGGAAGTTAGTCCTGGAGAATTTGTGTTACTGTACTTTCATGAGGAAATTGTTTAATATTTTGTTCATGAAGTATTTATGTATTTATGTATGAAATATGTATGAAGACTTCTTAAAACTGTACAGCATTTATGTTATTTTCTTTTAACCTTTAACGTCCAAAGTGCCCCGAACAGGCCAGTGATGAGTATGGTTGTTGTGGCCACAGTACCCCGTTTTGGCCAGTCAGGCATTTAAACTCCGCTAGTGGAAGCTCGTGCACACGCTGCTAGTAGAAGTGCATGTACAGTCCTAAATATTTATTTTTAAATGCAGTAATTACCAGACAGATTTGAGTAAAACCCTAATAGAAGAATTAAAATTATACCTAAGTGAATAACAGCAAAAAAGAGTATACGTATGAGATATGCCCAAACTCATCCACGAGCCAGTAATTTTATTGCAGATTCTGCAGATTAATGTGTTAAAAATATATAGTAAAATTCGATGTACATACCTTTTTTGTTGTTATCTGCTTGATGTATATATAGGCTGAAATGAAACTACAGTATTCGATTTCACTATGAACGCACAGGAAACAGATTGCACTTTGTATCTCAGCCACAATGCAACTGTCTGTTCACGACCCTAGAAAGGGCAATAATCTCTTGCAGCTATAACAGAAGGTCTTAGCACTGAAGAAGGGACCCCTCTAGCTTTCTCCTGAATAGCCATTCTTTCAGTCTTCTGTCCTTTAGTCAAAAGATTTGAAAATCTGAAGATTGTCAGCAGTACTAGCAGAAGACCAAATGATTTTATTGCTTCCATCTGTTTTATGACACCAGGGACTGCTAAAATTTGTCAAGTGTTACAAACAGAAATGAATTTATAATGTAGAACAAGTCTGTGAAGTACTGGGAAACCATTTTTGAAGTATGCATCAAAATTAAAAGAAAAAAATTGAAAATAGAGTATAACTCTTTGTATAAAATTTTGCAAATTTTCCGTTACAATATGCGACACTGTGTTCTTTGCTGATACAAACAAAGTTAATTCCATCCATTTATCATAAAAATTGAGTTAGATACAGCATTTTTAAACACAGTGCTTAAAATTGTTTAAGCACCCTAGCAGGAACGGACATTTAAATGCAGAGTAGCAACGGACATTTAAACCCACACCAGCAGGTGGCATTTAAATAAACTCCGGCCAGGTCAAGCTTACCACCATTTCAGAAGTCTGGCGTTTAAAGGTTAATGCATTTAAAGCCATTTCAGTTTTTCTTAATAACCCACCAAGAACTTATACAGTCAAAATATTTTTGGGAGAGTTTGAATTGTAATCATTCTGATCATTAACATCCTGTTCTTTGACTTCCTCTACATTTCTTTCATCCCATTTGCACTTCAGTTGAATGTAAGTTTACAAACTTTGCATTCACATGAAATTTGCTCCTTTTCACACTTTTGTAACTTCCTGTTTGATATCATTTTGGGTTTGTTCAGAATCTCACAAGTCAGAAACAAGTTCTGAGCAGTCTTCTCTAACTAGAATTCACCATTTGCCTGATTTCCTTTCTTCTTAAATTGACATATACATGTATTAAAAATTGCATCCCCCAAGACTTGAAAGTAGGCATTATGTGTCTGAAGCATCACACATTTGAGAGCACTGTGCTTCATAGCAGCATGTTGCTGAACACAGGTTTCATTTTTATTTTTTAATGCTGTAAAGGGGAAGAGTCTGCGGCTGGTGACTCTTGAAGCTAAAGAAATATATTACACATTACTCTTCTGTTCCATCTTCCTAGTGACCTCAGAAAATCTTAATTAATTCTGAATGTGGCACACTAATGAAGTCCATGATAGAAGCACTTGAAGCAGTGGAATGCCTTCTAAATGCTTCTTGATTTTAGCAGTCAGTCTTTATCATCCCAGCCTAATTGTTTTAATGTTATGTTCCCTCTGTTAAGTTTTTATAAGTTGTTCTAATTCATTTTCCACTGGAGATACATAAAGTGGTTGTAGTTGTTCATGTAGTCAAGGAATTGTGTCATAACCTTTCCATCATCACAGCAGCACACCTCTGTACATGTTGTGAGCCATTGTGCCACACTTCACAACTTAATGATCTATGACTAAAATATCCACTACAATATTATTGTTGCATCTGTATAGGATTCCCATATGTTTTACATCCAAAATTGTTTATGCACTCTGTGTACCTACATGCACACTACATTTTTCATGAATCATATTCTTGTCAATTTAGTCATGCTAACAGTCCAGTGTCAAGAGTACAAATTTGGAGGCTCCATGCGATGTACTTCCTCTTGTCCTCCATTGTGTCCACCTCTTGGACTGAGCAGTATGCACTAGACTTGTATTTGAGATGCACTCAGTTCCAGTCTCAGCCAGGACACTGACTACCCTGATTAGTCATGACTGGATCTTCAAAATCCTTTCCAATTCATTTTTCACCAATCATCATATGGTCTAAGTGCTGAGAGCATCATAAAGTAAACCACAAAAAATTCACCTTTAAAAGTAAAAGAGTAAGTTCATACCCAAGCCCATGCCATAGCTCAAGTGGTTAGTTGCTGGCTTCCCACTGCAGTGGCCCAGGTTTGATCCTGGGTCTGGTCAAGTGGGATTTGTGGTGTAAAAAGTGGCGGTGGGTCAGGTTTTCTCCGAGTACTTCGGTTTCCCTTGCCCATCTTCATTCCCCCAATTGCTCCACAATCATCCTCACCTATCATCTGGGGCTGGTACAATAGGCCAGAAGTGGCCGCAGTACAAGGGACTTAGTCCCACCCCACTAGCAATAATAAAAATGTTCATACCCATATGTTGCAACAGATAAATTCATATGTTACATATTTTAATGTTTAGGTTTTCAGATGGGAGTAACAGAAAGTAGATTTATTACACAACTTTGCATATAATTTTTGTCCCAAATTAATGTTGTTCCTTTCATCATGAAATGATTCTTTTATAACTAAGTGGGCACTGGGTATAATAGGGCATTTGAGCCCATAACCTGCTGTCTGAGTGTGACCCTATATACAGGATTTAATATTTTTATTAGCTGATGAAGCATTCTTCAGTATGTTTGTGTAGTTCTACAAATTAAGTGGAACATTTCTGTAAAATGAAATGTTTCAGGACTGACACTCCTTTTGCCATACATCATCTCCACCAGGCGGAACTGGTCAGCTTGCAAGTTGCGTGTTTTTGCACTTGCTAACAAGAAAGATGAACTAGAATTTGAACAGCGCAAGTACGTATCTGAATCAGATTACTTATTCATTTATATAGATATGACCAGATAAAATGGTCGAAACATGTTGTGATTTTAATAAAACAAACTGAATGTTATAAAGTCTGAGAGTTGTGTTTGATGGAACATGATAATTAATTAGTTTGCTCACACAACAGGATGCATTCCATAAAAATAGTGAAGGAAGTTGGAGTGCCAGTCAAGTACACACAAAATATATAAGAATTATTAATCCCTCTTTCATATGCACATGCGCATATTCATGAATGTCATCATGGCCATATTCAGATATTCTGAATATATCTATCTGTATACTACATAACATTCATATTGCAATCTTATGGGTTAAGGCACTGTTTAATCTTAGGTTGTTATTAAGGTTTTATTCTGTCCTGTAGATGGAGGCAGCAGGCCTGTCTTGCAGTGTAACTCTTATTTTNATTTGTGTGGTCTCCTAGAATAGATGTTCAGAATAATATACAGTCCCTAATGCATACATGGCCTGGCATTCTGTAGACAGTCTTGATAGTCAGCATATATAATTAGGTTTACATTTGAAGGGTTAATAAATATCCATTAAAGGCATTGTGGTTTATATGTGAAATTTCTTCCTACCATATAGTTTTATTCCATGCAAAATATGTTGTTGTTCTGAAGGAGAATTACAGAAAGTCTGAAGTTTATTTTATTTCAAATTTCAGTAAACTTTATGTATTTTTGTGTTAACAGTGAAGTGGAATCTAATATATTTTGTTATTTTATTAGATTTTAATTGATAATTATTGTGTTTTATTCTTTCTAAATGACTAATGAGTGTAATCCTGCGGGAAAATCTAAAACCTGTTTGTGATTTTGCAGCATGGCAAGTTTATTGGCCAAATTCCGCATTGACTATTCAGACCTGAAGGTGATACCAGATATCACAAAGAAGCCACGTGATTCTACAGTGTCATTCTTTGAGAGCCTAATTTCTGAGTTCAAACAAACAGAAGGAAGTACTGATGGTGGACCATCTCATGATCCAAGTAAGAAATGTTTAATGTTATGACGTGATGGAGTGACTACAGACGGGGTTCAGACTGGTAATTGAATTTACTGAACACTTGCAGAATGTGACTACAAATAACTACAACAGCCTCACTGAGATACACACTCCAAAAATCACTTCAGCTTGCCACTGTCAACACTGACATTCATTTCATTTCCCAGTACATGATCACAAAGGTACATCTGACTCATGCACAACCATGTGCCATGACCTGTGTCTGGTGTTAGAAATGAGACACAATCATAGATTGAGACCGACAAAACTACCTCCAACCTGGCATGTTTGTTTTCATATTTCACCAGAAATTGCTTTCTTGAGGAGAAAAAATTTTTTTTTGTTTGCATAATTGTCCCATTTTTATGTGATCTAGTTATATCATTGTTCAGAAATTACCTAGGTCATTCCTATATGTTTTTCTTCATTTCTCCTTCACTTAAAGGTTTGTTATATTTTGCTCCCACCATTATAATTAGTTAGATTGTCATCATCATCATCATCATCATCATCATCATCAATAGGAGCAAGGAATGTCATATAATGGGAGACAGGGCTGGAATACACGGTGCCAGAATGGACCTGGTGGTGTCTTCATTATATTTAGGCCTGCATATGTCAAATATTTCCATGTCAAATAAATGGGCTGTTGCAGAAGTCTGTGAGAATACATAAAACAACTATTGGAAAAGGGAATATTGCACATTACATATATATACTCCATTGCAAGCAAGAACTGTGTTGCACAGCAGGATATTTATATTTACAGAGACTATAATGCGAACAAGAACTATGGCAGTAAGTAATTACATTTACTTAGACCCTTGTTCAAGCAAGAGGTATGCAGTAAAAGAAGGTACTAAACTTTTATGTGGGCTCTTATCTATGTATAAAGCACTGCCATACAAAAAATATGAGCCCCAAAATTCTGCTGTATGCCATTTCTCTAGTTTTGAATGAACTGTTGAAATAGTTATTGTTTCTGTTTTTCAGCAGTGGCCATTACAGAAGCTGAATTGCTGGCTATGAATGATAAAACAAATCGGCACTTGCGGTTGAGAGAGCTTGTCATGGAAAATTCCCTTGAAGCAAATCTGGTTGTCATGTAAGTACATCATATACAAGCAGCAAAATGTGCTCACACTCTTTCTCCCAAATGTTGTGTCATGGAGAAGGTTGGTAAATTCAACCATCAGGAAATCATTACTCATTTCCATTTTTAAAATGAGGGTAACTAAAAACCCATACATCAGCTGTATTAACTATCCTATTTCACCCAGATGATGCATCATAGAAAGAATGATTAATATGAGAAACCTTCCTCTTGGTTGGCTGTTTTTGGAAAAGTCAGTCTTTCTTCTGTTTCACTGAATAGGCACAGGATGGCCAAAAGACCTGTATGATATACATTAATGTTATGAATAATTTTAATTTGTGCCATTTTGAAAAGTTTTCTTTTATATGGATCACAGTCATATGTGAAATTCTTGAAGAAGTTTCTGTGAAGAATCTAGTAAGGAAAAACTATGGTTTGATGTATATTAATTGTATTTTTCTTGACATAACTTAGTTGTGTGTTCAAGTAGTTATAAACAGTATACTAAGTAACGAGCTTCACGGAGCCAAGCCCTTCTTGAGAAGCTGCCAGTTGCACAGCTACTCAAGAATTTCCCAACATTGTATGGAATCTGAAGGTTCTTTAACATATTTGCAAGAGCCCTCTACTGGTCCCTCTTCTGAGCCAGATTCAGTTCATACCCCCTTATCCTATCTCTCTAAGATCCGTCTTCATAGTATCCTCCCACCTACATCTAGGTCTTCCTAGTGGACCATTCTAGATGTAACACTTATATTGAGAAGGTGCTGAATTTGAGTCGTGGCCAGGACATCACCTATCATCACTGAGGTTTTTCATGGGTATCCTCAATCCCTCCAGGCAAATGCCAGGTTAATATCTCAGGCCATTACCTCTTTCTTCTAAATCTTTTTCAATACATCATCATTCATGTATCATCCTATCAACCAATACTGTATACTCTCCATACTGGAAGTGTTGTTCAGTAACATATAAAAGAAAATAGATCTTTAGAGTAGAAAGTCATTACACAGGTCCAAGTGTGCCTTGTGTTAATCACTTTGTACTTATTCCAACAGTATTTGAAATACTTTTCCATGTGATAAGTGTTATGTTCTGTTCACACACCGTGCAAGTGAACAGAACGTCCTGTGATGTACTTTCTATGTTATATTCACTAATATGTGTTGCAGGACATTGCCTATGCCAAGGAAGAATGTGGTGTCAGCAACACTGTATATGGCATGGTTAGAAACACTGACAAGAGACATGCCACCATTCCTTCTGGTTCGGGGTAACCAGACATCTGTGCTCACATTCTATTCATGAACTTTTATCCTGTAAACAGTGCTTTAAAACTAGCCTTTCCATGGTGTCAGTTATTAAGCAGGGATTCTGCAGTAAAGTTCAACCTTGTAAGACTAGAAATACTCACAGTTTTGGAGACTATTATGACACATGAAGACATGTGTCATAATGGAGGAACATTTATTGTAGCTATCCTTTATGCTTCGGTGAATGGATGAACCACTTAAGTTATTCAGTTTGTTTGGATTGTAGATATAAATATATATAAAACTGCTCAATCAGTGCTGTCTAGCAGAGCTAGCTCTGTGAGTCTTTCTTGCCTGTGAAAGGAAAGCATATGAGTTTTGCTTTTATTCCCACCATATTTGTTTAGTTTATATTCATTCCTTTTCTGCATTCTTTCTGTAAATCTCTCATTGAAATCACAGGGTGTCAGTAGTGTCAACGTTCAATTACATGTTCTGCTACTGAATTAGACTAACAAACAGCCCACTGCATAGTCACCACTAGCAGTATATAAAATTGATAGGAATTGTAATTTATTGCAACTGCTTAGATAATACTTTGTTTTGAGATTTGGTTTACTGGCTAGACACATAGCTAGAAAAGAACTCCAGTAGTTGGTTAATGACTGCTGTTAGAAAATAGCTAAACTTCTTAATGTATTATGGATGGCTGAAACTTATGGGACCTTAACAGAGAGACTGATGAATGTATACAAGACAATAAAATTTTTATATTATCCCCACTGGGTTAACTTCGGTGTTTTTTGAAACATGTATTTTGCTCAAGTAGTTTCTTTATTGCAGCTTTCCCTCCAGCACAGTTTTCTGACCAGATTTTATACATACTGTCTTCCTACTGTTACAAAAAGGAAGAAACTTGATCTTTTTATGTACCATGTACTAATCCTCTCCATTTTTCACCTCTTCCCTCCTAAATTTCAGATATTTCCTTAAAGTCATAAACTGCAGAGAGGAATCTGTATTTTTGAATGTTGTTTTAGTTTGTATTCATTAAGAATGCCGTTGTGTCAAGAGTTGTTAAGCTCAGCTTGACACTAGTTCAAAACTCCTACTCTCTGTCCTCCTCTGTCTGTGAGTGAAAGTTGTACTATAACAAATTCCAAAGCGGTTTCATCTTGCCAGACCCTGAAAGTACAAAGAGAGCCCATAAGTATATTTCATTTTTATTGTGAATATCTGAGGGCATGCGAAATGTATATGATACAGTGCGTATTTAGCCTGTTGGTGCCATAATCATGGAACTGAGACATTCAGCAATCTATGGTTACCAGTGCATGTATTTTTTGTATGATGCTTGGATCACTTGCTACAGCTGGATGTCTGAATAGTTATCAAATGTGGAAAATGCATTTATATTTACTGATGAAGGAGGAGGGGGTAGTGAATAAAAGAAATTAGGACAACAGCTCAATGAAATGTCATTGATCACTCTTTTTCATAATTACTGAATATTATAAATGAAGTACATGTAATGAATAGATTTACAGATATTCTTAATCTACAGTATCCCCTCCTCCTTTCTTTCTCAGCAGGCTGGTTTTTCCCCAGGGATGCCTTCTAGTCCCTGGAGAAAATTTAACAGTTGGGGCTATACCCTCCATTGTTCCTTTTTTCCTGTCTTCCATGATCTTAGTCTTGGAGGAGGTAAATGTAGCAGTCCCTCCCTCAACAGCAGATCCTTGGGATGCCAGACTCACTTGGGACCTGCTTCAGGATCATTCAGAAACTTAACAGTCCCCTGAGTAAGTCCTGTTAATATCTTATACTTCGTCTCCTTGATGATTTTGAAGAAAACTCTATCTGTAAGAAGGGTAAGGTGGAAGTGTTTCAGAAATATTCAGAATTCCATACAAGACACAAGCATAATCGTCATGGACCAGTTGCAGATGTTACAATCTACCTACCAAAAGGGAGTATAGCATGCTGGAACAAAACTTTATACCCATCTTGCACCAAAAATTGAATGTTTATCACTTAACAGTAAATAATTCAAAATATCACTGTAGAGAATTCTTTTGATTTGGAACTTCTACTTTGAAGGTTAATTTTTATTTTGAGCAAGTGCAGCTTCACCTCTCAATGGTCAGCTCACCACATAGTCAATATGTTTCAGCCACATGGTGATTAACTAGTGCAGGAAGATGCTAAAATTTTAGTAAATGTTTGACTGTAAACATTTTTCTGATGGCAACAGATTTCTGTACCTATATTTGCTTATATGGACTGTATCTGATTGTGCTGTTGCTTGTACTGCTAAGAAATGTTAGGCCAACTGAAGTCATATGTCTGCAGTGCATGAACTTGCTACTTCTGAACATACAGCATAGTTGCTATACAGTTATTTATAGTGTGGCTGTGTATGTGTATGAACCTGTTGCATTTTCACATACCCTTCTGTCCAGAGCTGATGAGATACAGATGTATGTCTCTATTTGTGCACCTCACTGGCAACGATTTTAAAACTGGGACTCAGCTCATTATCAGTTCAATTTAAACCTGACTCGCTGTGCTAGGAGTTGTGTTTTCATGGGCCAAGGCAAATACTCTCACAGCAGCCTGTGTTCACTAGCTTTAGCTTCTGAATTAATCATGGAGAGTGCAGAACATTACAGGGATATATGAAAATCACTAGAATTTGAGAGAAGTTTCTTCTGGTGGTAAAATCACAGAAATAGGGGATATTATTTAATAGTCGTGGAGGCTCATAATAGTACAGGCTTTCATCATAAGTTTATTAAATTTGAAATTACTTTGTGAGACCGTGGTATTCCAACCTAACGTCAGCGATTGAGGTTAGCGCTTTCTAATCTTGGCAATAAGGTTGTGTCGTTAGCAATACCCCACGACGGACATACGCAAAAACCCAGTGATTCCGACGAATAGTACATAATTTTAAGGCAACTAAGCTAACGACACCGGAACTAATGCCATGAAATGTAAGACTTGTGTAGATGGAACCCAATACGACTTCATCGGCATTGAGTAGGTCACTTTTGTTTACATATGATTTTTAAAGGGTTCTGCCAATGGTGTATAACATTCAGAATTACTGGGCTTTTGGAAGTTTTCCATCGTCCGGAAATCTAGAAACTAGAAAACGTTTCGGAAACTGGAGCTATGTCCAACCTCGGGTGAAAGGGGAAAACACCTACTCAGCTGGGTCCCATAAGAACGTTGTTTTCTATTTTTTAGAATACCGGACGATGGAGAAAGTAAACAAATCCAATAATTATTAATGATTTTTTCAAAAAAAAAAAAAAAGCAAAATTATTTAGTGGATTTAAGGTCTTTCATTCTGGTCCGTCACACTAACCAATTAACAATCAAATTCCTTCCGTCAAATGTGAAAAAGTGTCACATTTGACGGAAGGAATTTGATTGTTATTTAGTGGACATTAGCAGCACGGATATGTAATACTTAGTAATCCGTGATATTAGTATTCTGTGGCGGTAGCCATTTTGAAAAGGTGTAGGGAGCGCCCTCAGTCGTGTAGCCTGTCGCTATACCGACTGAGCTATCAATCCAGTTGAAGCTGTACTATTATTGCATTATCTTTGATCAAAGTTAAAAATTAATTCAGTTTTTATTCTTGTAGTTTAATGGCACTCAGCATTCGAGAGCTGTGTGATGTTGAGTATAAATTATTTTATAAGATGAATAATTTTAGTGTTTCATTACGGGCTGCATAAGAAATTCCCGAAAGATCGATCACCATCGATCCAACGATCATCAATCTGATTGATATCCTAAATGGCAGTTCGATCAGTTAATGGTGATGACACTCAAGTTTTCATCAATGATAATCGTGAAACAAGTGAGAGAACGAGTGCTTGTTGTCATAAATTTAAAATAGAACTCAGATGAGCACAAAAAATTATTGAACTGCTACAAGAAGAGATAAACACTACCATTCGTACCGTAAGTACAGACTCATGTTACTTCCACAGTTCGAACTAAAAAAAAACGGGAAATGGGTTCTTGTGTTCATGAATCTCCCGCTGGAACATCTGGCTACCCTGACTTACGTTTTTTCATGGGTTGTCACAGTACCACCAGGCAAATGTTGATTGAACTTAGTGTCCCTAATCAGGTGACAAGCACCAAGACTTTTGAATACATTATTTACTAATCATCAGCCGTTTGATACTATATAGTTTCCGCTACGAAGTGTGTTGTGAAATCGTGAAAGGAAATGTGGTGCAGGAGCAGTTTTGAATGTTATTAATAATCGGACACAACTTTCAGCGCCAGAAGAGATACTGTCCAACATCAAGATTGAGCCCGATGACAGCAAACGGGACCTACAGATAGCTCTCAAGAAAGCACGGAGACTGAAGCTGCAGGAGGCTGCTTACAGAATCAAAAAACAGTGTAGAAAAGGTACATAACATTGGCATATTTCGTTTTTAATCCTCCCCACAAATGTTTGGCTGTAGTAGGGATCATTTCCCTTGTTCAGTCAAGGCCAACTTCCCTTACCTGCCTCTCTGCTTTTTTTCCCTGAGACAAGAGAGGAGCAGCTCTATGTATAGGTGGTGGAAGGTGATGAAATTTATCCCTAGCTACAGAATCCTGTGCCATGTTTAGTTCCTACACAGTGTCTCCATGTGTTCCAGTTATAAAATGTTGCACAGAACTTTGTAGTAAAGTTCATTATGATGTTTCCTCCTTGGTTACTGTACAAAACCATTGTACCCTAGAGAAACTATATTGTACTTTAACCTGAGGGCTTTTAAATTGTTTCTCTCACAATTTGTTGTCATGGGCCTTAAACCAGTAAATCATATCTTCACATTTAAGCAATACCATCATCCTTTCTTACTGTGCTACAAACTGAAAGGTAATGGGTTTGATTCCTAGTTAGGTAATTGGATTTTTAGATTGACTGAATCCTTCCAGTCACACTATGATCCTGGGGTCAAGTCAGCCTCTAACAGAAATGAGTACCAGGAATATTCTTGGGGCTAAAGGGTGGCCGGCATGTAAGGCTGACAGCCTCACTGCAATCTGTGAGCTTATTGTCGAGAAAGTATGAGAGTCTTGATGTCTCGCACCCCTATGGGCCTCCATGGCCTGTTACAGGGAGAGCTTTCCTTTTTTTTTATACTATCATCCTTTCTTATATTTTGATTATTGAGACCTGTTATGGCCTCCTGTCAAATAGGCACCAGGGTCTGTTTCCCTGGGTGTGGGAGTGGCATGGAGCTGGCCACTCACCTCCATCCATAGCATAACTAATTAAGCATAGGGACAGCTTTGCATTTATGGATACTACAAAACAGAATGCTGTATAGCTACATAATTTGACTGTTTGTGATTTGTGATGTTTGTAGGTGGCAGAGTCAGTACTGGGGAGAAACTCAGAAGGGAACACGGAAGGTGGTTCCATTGTGGTGAACGCTACAGCAGAATTCTGCCGTACGTTGGGTGACATCCCCATTTATGGTCTGGCTGGCAACAGGGTTGAGGATGCTCAGGAACTGCTTGTGAGTGCAATATAACCATCCGCAGATAGGTGTACACTTGGCAAGGCACTTTGATTTAGCATGTGTGAAGACTAGATGCAGTCTATTGCTCATCTACAGTTATTTACTGCATCTGCAATGGAACTAGAATATATTTTAATTACAGTTGAATTCCATGATAATTGATATATAAATTACTGAACTGGAAACATCCAGCAGAAATCCTAGAAATGAAAGCACTCGTTGTACAATAAGAATGTGATAGTTGAGATGGTAGAACCTTTTTCTTCTTCTTGACAAGTGGTACCTTCTGGAATAAAATGCCATATAATGTGATAAGGTCCATAAGCATTTTGAAGGAATGTCAGTGAACTTACAGGATGTTACTTCCCAGAAGATGGTGCCTTTCTTAATCTCCTCTACAAGAATCTCAAATCCAGTCTTTTTTCCCCATCTTTTATTTCTTTTTTCTCCCTGTGACATGTGCATGATGCAAGGGTAGAAGAGACGCCACTAGGAATTATATGTGAAATTGAAATAGGAGTGAATAAATAGCTTAGAACATGACTAAATAAGAAACCAGTAGTTCCTATAATTTTATTCATTGCAAAGTGAATTGAATGTTAATCATCACAGTATTCTCACTGCAAACTCAGAGTCAGTTTGTCAGGTGTACATTGCTTGGCAGAATCAGAGTATGTTTCTAATAGATCTGTAACTTTAAAGCATACTATGATATTAAAAAGATATTTTGGCAAAGAAGTTTCAAGATGATCAGTATAGTCAGAAGAATTCTGTCTTCTGGGGTATCATCCAAATTTCCGGGGGAACATGTCACCTGAATCTTCAGGATCAAAGAATAAATGAAACAAAAAGCCAGCATGAAGCAGGTAGGAAGCTTGGCTTTGTTACCTGCCAGCGCTGGTTTCTTGCTTGATTTACTCTTCAACCCTGAAGATGAAGGCGACATGTTTCTGCAAAATGTCTGATGACTTTCGACAGACTACACGGCATTACCTCCCAGATGACAAGTCTTCAAAACCACTGCTGTCAGAAGCTCAAATCCTACACAGTGTAGTCAGTACTTTACAGTGCAGTAATTTTTTATACAGTGGTTCGTGGGTAAGCAGTTCAGATTTCAGTCTGTCTCAAGGTAATTTTGAATTTGTAATTTTTGGGCTGCGCATTTGCGTTTTGCTAATCTCATACAAAATTTACATTACAGGACTTTGAGAGGGAAATGATTGAAGAGAAGAAACATCAGGAAGAAGAAGGCAAACGTGGAGCTTGGAATGAAGTTGAGATTGGTGAGTCATTAGCAGATGTTTTATGTGCAACAGAGGCCTATTGAAGTTAAGAGCTATTGACACTTTAATACTTACTCATGGAGCTGAGCCCTTCTGGAGGAGCCGCCAGTTCTGCAGCTACTCAAGAAATTCCCAGCATTTTATGGAACCCGAAGGTTCATTACTGTGTTCACAAGAGCCCTCCACTGGTCCCTATCCTGAGCCAGATCTATCCAATCCATACCATCCCATCCTATCTCTAAGATCCATTCTAATATTGTCCATCCACCTATGCCTTGGTCTTCCCTGTGGTATCTTTCCTTCTGGCTTTCCCACCAATATCCTATACGCATTCCGCATCTCCCCCATTCATGCTACATGACCTGCCCACCTCATCCTTCTTGACTTGATCATTCTAATTATACTTGGAGAAGAGTACAAGTTATGAAGCTCCTCTTTATGCAGTTTTCTCCAACCTCCTGTCACATCGTCTCTCTTTGGTCCAAATATTCTCCTCAACACCCTATTGTCAAACACCCCCAGCTTATGTTCCTCCCTTAATGCCAGAGACTAAGTTTCACACCCATACAGAACCACAGGCAAAATTATAGTTTTGTATATTCTAATTTTTATGTTTTTGGACAACAGACGAGAAGACAACAGGTTCTGGACTGAATGGTAGCAAGCATTACCCAAGTTCAATCGCCTCTTAATTTCCTCCTGAATCAGGTTTCGATCTGTTA